GTTGATTTCAGCCCTCAAGTTGATTATTTCCTGGCGTCTACTCCTCCAGGGTGAGTTTGCTTCTTTTTGTTCTAAGGTTTTCAGTTCTGCTGTTAATTCTCTTATGTGACTATCCTCTGTTTTCTTCATATGGGCACTTAGTGCGATAAACTTCCCTCATAACACTGCTTTCAAGGTGTCCCATAAGTTCGGGTATGTTGTGTCCTCATTCTCGTTGAGTTTTCGAAAGTCCTTAATTTCTTTATTTCTTCTTTGAACCAGGTGTGGCGCAATTGCACATTGTTCGGCTTCCATGAGTTTGTAGGTTTTCTGTGATTTGTGTTGTTGTTGAATTTGAATTCCAATTTTAAAGTATAGTGGTCTGATAAGATACAGGGGACTATTCCTATTCTTTTGTATCTGTTGAGGTCCAGAATGAATATGCTCAGTATTGGAGGTGAATGAGCAAAACTGAGACTGCGAATCTGTGAAGGAGAAGGTTGTTGATGGGAGATCTCATTCTGTAAATATGTTTCTCTTATTAGTTAATGAATAGAGCCCTGTTTTCCAATAGGAAAGCAAGATAGGTGGGTCTAGGAGACAAGGAGGATTCTGGGAGATGTAGCAGTGAGGAGTCAAGATGCAGGACGTGAGAGAAGAGATCTGGACCCTCTCCCCAGTGAGATAAGACCACGTGGAAACACATTGATAGACATGGGTTAATATTTAAGACATAGCTAGCCAACAAGAAACATGTGTAACTGGTCAATAACTTTATAACTAATAGAGTCTCTGTGTGTTATTTTGGGACTGACACAGTTGTGAGACTAGGCTGGCGGGAAAGTACTAGTAACAGGTTATTGTATTTTTTGGGTTGTTAAGATAAACACGAGTGTCTACATGGGTTTCACAACGTGGACCAAGCAGATGAAAACTTGTGTGTGTGCATGTGTGTGTGTGTGTATTTATAACAGTAATAAAGAAGAGGTTAATGATTGGACAGCCAGTGCAGGAGACACAGGAGGAATTGGAAGGAATGGAGGGAGAGTTGGAAATACAGTACTCATCTATACAATTTTGAAAAGATTTAATAAAAAATAAACTTGAAGTAATCAACAAGAGGAAGAAAAAGGGCAAGCACAGATGTGGCTGCGAATCTGACTTCCAGAGGGAATCACATTTAGAAAATCTTGGTCAACAAAAAATTTACTCTTTCTCTGAATTCAAGGTGGATGGTGTAGCAGGTAAAATTTTCCAGTTGGGGTGGGCTGACTAAGCCTGCAACTACCCAAGTCCAGAATCAGGGTTATGGATTGGCGCATCTCAACATCCACTCCACCTGTGATCTGCTGAAGCATGTGAAGATACTGGTCCTGCAGATCCAAAACAGAAGGATCTTCCCAACACCGGGCAACAACAGGATAGCCAAGAGGAGTCCCAGTGAGGGCCCAGTATCCACAGCGTAGCAGAAACCAGAGGCCTCAAACCAGACCAATGACTCTTTGCAAGTAACGCTTGTAAGTCAAAATATATGACTCACTTCCATGATGAGATTTTTTTCCCTTTTTTCCTCTTCAATATTTCTGGGAGGGGGCTTCAAGGGCAGTGGGAGGATATGAAGGGATGGGAAATAAATGGGATTCAGATACATGATATGAAAGACACAGAAAATAAGTGAAAGAAAAGTTTTAAAAATTTCAGTTGGTTTTAGTAATTCCAAATTATTAAGCAGAAATATGAGACCTAGTGAACATAGTCTCTTTTCTATCTCCTTGTAGAAAAGGCTGTGTTAATCACTGTCTGTGGCATTAGTAGTAGACACAGGAAAAACTTCAACTGGCTTTTTGCTTTATTCCTGTATCAGGAGGAAGAGTGTTTTCTGACTGTATATGGGTTTTTTGTTTTGTTTTTCAAGACAGGATTCTCTGTAGCTTTGGAGGCTGTCCTGGAACTTGCTCTGTAGACCAGGCTGGCCTCAAAGTGACAAAGATTCACTTGTCTCTGCCTCCCAAGTGCTGGAATTAAAGGAGTGTGCCATCCCATTATGTGTCTTCTAACACAGATGGAATGAATGGAGAATGTTAAAGTTAACTATTATGCAGGCATCAAGAGTCAGTCTCTTTAAGAAGGAACATCACTGAGCCGATTAGCAGTAAGTGTTGGATAGCATGGTAAGAAGTGTGTTTGTATAGACTGACTGACCTTCAAAGTGTCCTTTCGTTTGTCTGCAGCTAAACTATTTTGAGAGCAAAGTCTCCAGGGAATTGTTCTTTGTTCTTAGGTACAGCCTAACCTGGTAGCTGTATGTAAAGAGGTTCAAGTCTATAATACAGCCTAAGCACTCCCAACATATACCCACTAGGCAGCATTTGATGAAAGCTAAACAGATCTGGAAGTGCTCCTGTCAATCATCTTTTCTTCTTGAACCATGACCTTAAACTGAGCAAGACCAGTAATATACATATTTTTCCCAGATAGCATCTTGTGGTTCAGGATGCCCTTGCGCTTGGTATATACCTGCCTCTATCTCCTGAGTTCTGGGATCACAAGTGCATGCTATCACATTCTGCTTTCTGTGGTGCTGAAACCCAGAAAGGTGCGTGATAGTCTAGCTCTTTACCAACTGACCCACATCTCCAGCTCAGAAAGAGTTTTAGAATAAAATCTGTTCTTGAGTTCTCACCTTCTGTTTCTTTCTTGTGACATATGCTGGGCTGGCACAGAGTCTCAGCTTTACTGTCCAAGAGGATTTCATTCCTCCTAGCACCCAACTTTTTCTCAGCCCCAAACTTCCTTATCCTCTTGGCATCCTCTAAATATAGCTTTCCTGATCCACTTTCTGTTTTGGGATCTCTGCTGGAGACATTCTGTTTAAGTCATAGTTGAAATCTGGCCTCGGTAGAGCTTAGATCTGGCTCCCTCATCCACCATGTTTGACTTTTACAGACTTAAAAAAATGAACATGTCAGTATTTATGAATCAGGAGATTTACACAAGAATATAGATTTTCATACCTCTTAACAATGGGGCCAAATGGCAATACTGTGTAACAAAGGTGAACTAACTGTAGTCCCATTCATGTGGGTCTGCTCTGGAGTCCTCACCTATCTGTCCTTGGTGGGCATTTGATTTTCTGACTTACATACAGACTACTGGAGGCTTGCTACATGACAACTGACAACTGATATATATACATATATGTACATATATCTATACATATATCTGTAATATATATGTACATATATATCTGTAATATATATGTGTATGTGTACATATATGTATATATACATATATGTATATATAATACATATTAGTTATGTATGTTAGTATATGGCTGAAATTCATTTCAGGTTACATGTCATTCCTTATATATAAAAACAGCTTAGTATTTGGTACTCTTGCAAGTCAGGGAAAAGAGGGTTTGATTTCAAAGTTTAGATTTTGATAATGCATGGGCCCTTTTGTTTGTTTGCTTGCTTGCTTTTGCTGGGCAATATTAGACTCATAACAGCCAGTTCAGTTTGGGGCAATGACTATAAAAAAAGTAACAGTCACACACTAGTCATTGAGTTTGTCCTTGGGTTTGTCATTGTAACTTTTCTAATTGTGACATAATGTGAGTGGCCATCATGCATTTCCTGGGCGGTGGTGGCACACATCTTTAGTCCTAGCACTTGGTAGGCAGGGGCAGGAGGATCTCAGTGAGTTTGAGGCTAGCCTGATCTATAGAGTGAGTTCCAGGACAGCCAAGACTACAAGGAAAACCTTGTCTCAAAAAACAGAAACAAAGTCCTGAATTTCAGTAGTGTTTCTCACCCTTTAAAAACAAACCAACAGTTTGTGGGAAACTAAAGATGAAGTAAAGGTAAATGTGCTCAAACGAGAAGTTATGGCAGCATCATTATTAACAGCTTAGCTCCTTCCTACCCAGTGTGTCTTTATTCCTTGGTGGATGTGTTTTTATATCTCATCTGTGTCTTTTCCTTCAAATTCTAAGCTTGCCCTGCTACTTTATGGTGAGCATTGTTAATTTTGAATGAAAGTGATAAAAGAAACATTTGATGCTATTATGTTACTTTTACTTCAGAGTTTGTTACTTTATCTCTTTCCATTCCACAGTCTATATGTGACTGTCAGAAACCTCTTCATAGGATCAGCATGGATTCTTCCTACCTTTGCCCTGCTATTTATTGCTTTCCCTTCAGTGTGTTGGTGAAATCGGACAGCCATGTCTTTCATTTTTTTTAGGTGTTTACAATAGCAGGTGACAAACAGAAACCACCCTGGAATGCCTAAGAATGAAAATTTCCAACCTCCTTTCTATTTTCTCCCTACCCAGTAGACCTGAGTGGGGCCTATGGATCTGCATGTTAACACTGTCAATTTTAAAACAAAATCTTTGCTTGAAACTTTCATGTCTTAGTTATTGCAAACAGGAGTGGTAGAGAGTCTGTTGACCCAAAAGCTTAGGTGTTGGGGTGTTCTGAGAATTTCAGACCCTTGAATATGATTGGAGTTTCTTTTCTCCTCACGATAAGCTGTGGTGTCTTTGCCTATGATGGTTTTGAGTCCATAGTGTATGTTGGGGATTTGCTTGTGCTTACACACCAGTGACTGGCTACTACTGGAAAAATTGACTAGTATTAAACAAATCAGCTACCAGTGATGAACTATCAGCACAGCAAGAGTTGTAAGGATGATCATATTTGTTTGTTTCTTGTTAATCAAAGTCATTTTCTAGACTGATGGCATCAGTAGAGTTTCCAGATGTGACACAGTGAAGCACTGACCACTCAGCACACACTTAAGTTCCAGTGTTACATGCTGGACATTGGTACACACTTGCCCTTCAAATTCAGCAGTGAGCCAACACAATCATTCCTTGGCCAATAAGTCCAGTAATGAATGCTGAAGTTTTGTGTGCCTTACTGGACATTTTGGCAGAGTTCTTCCCTGGGAAGATGGGAGGATCACTGACACAGATCTTGCTGTACCGGTTTCCTGCTTATCCATCCTTTATTTCACACATCTTTTTCTGCAATGATGCTTAGCTGGCCTGTGGTCTGATTTGTTGAGTACTTCAAAGGATGTGAATTTTGGGGAACTGATGACATATCCCTAGGTAACTGGAAACTGACTGTCTTTGTCTTCTCCCTACATGGAACAAATTGAGAGGGAAAAAAAATTAGACATTTTAGTCATATATATATATCCTTAATATATAATGTTTTCTGTTATTCATGATACTTATTTTCTTAGTTGCCTAATAATAATTAATGGGAGAATGTGTATTGGAACTGGCTTTTTAATTAAGCCCTGGGTAAACTCTGATAAAATGTAAAGACGTCAGTTGGATATCGTGTTGTTTTAGGCAGAGTCTCACAACTCTATAGTTCAAATAGTCAGACTTATTAACTATGAAAGCACATACTGAACACACATCAGTCTACTTCTTTTGATTCTGAGATCCCAGGTTGTCCATTGTGTGTTAATCACAACAGGGACAAGGGAAAATAGCCACAGCTGGCATCATTTGAGAGACTGAATCCTTCCGTTTAGCTCACTTCTCCTTTTACCTCCAAAGTTTTATGTAGGCTTCTGACCTACCCCGGGAGAAATTGCTCTTCAGATTCAGTCTAAAGAGCAGTGCTTGAAATCATCGCCCTTTCTTCACTGATGTTTTCTTTTGTGGTAGATAAGGGTGTAGCCTCGCAGAATGGCATTTCACAGCCTGCATCTCAGAACACGTTTGCACCTTCCCTTGGGAAGAAGGTGGACCAGGGCTTCCTTCCATGTGTTAGGATCAATAAAATAGTAACAACTGCTGCCAGTTAATGAGCCACTCATGCAACTATTTCCCCGTGCTCCCCAAATGCTGTGAGGTAACTGCAATAATGACTCCCATTGCACCAAAGAATAGATTGTGGCAAATGACACATTAATAACTCTTTCCAAGAACATGTTATTTGAAAGTGATGAGGCTAGAGTTTTAGCCATCTTATTCCACAGGCTGCCCTTCCTAACCACACTAATGTGGAAAAGTACAGATTATTTTTTCCCAATCAACAAATCTAAGAAAGAAACTATTACATTTATTTACTGTGTATGTTTGTGTCTGTGTATACATATATATGCATGCATGTGCCACGGGACACATGTGAAGCTCATAGGACAACTTGTGGGACTCTGCCCTCCTTTAACCTTGTGGGTTCTGGGGACGAAGCTCTTAAAATTTGGTAGTAAGTGCCTTTATCCTTTGAGATAAGCCCTGGCCATCCTATCAGTAAGGCCAATAAAATAACATCTTTAATTTTGCTTTCATTGTCTACCTGAACCCATCTCCTTAATTTTATTAATATCCTGGAATTATGTTTCCTTTAAACACAGGAAGAAAAGATTGGGTTTCCATGTCAAAGTTAAAGTAAAATGAAAATCCAAGCTTTCCTTTTGGAAAGCTCAGCTTCTTAGACACACCGATAAAAACATTGTTCTGAAGAAGAAATTACTTTCATGCTATAATAATGGAAAATATCACAAGCAAATTAGGTTTAATGTCTGATACTATTCAAAATCCACCTACAAAAAAATGGTACTCTATTTATCTCTGTATAACTCTGAAAGTTGCTAGGAGGTAAGTGAACGCTCCAAATCAGAAGAATAATGACATGCCATTTTACCAGTTTGTTCCTGAGTACATAAGAGACAGAGAGAAAAAGGGACTATAATAAAATATATTAATTCCTATTAAGTGATTGTCACTAAGAGATTTTTGTGCCAATCCAGATGTTGATTTTAAGCCAACATGGACTTTTTTTCTTTTAATGTAACCTTGCTCTTGGCTCAATATTTCAAGTTTAACTAACTTCTAAATTCAAACTGGACTCTGCTCTTCAGAGTTTATTAGCTGACAGCTTGGAATCTGGAAACCATTTTGGTTCAGAAAAACAATACTTTGTAAACATTGGCTAGTTCCCCAAACTGTCATAAAAAACAATAGAAATTGAAATGGGAAAGCTAATAGTAGTACTGTAATTCTCAACCCTATGGGTCCTCTTAAATTCAAAAATTAAATATTCTAATAGTCACTATACAGTTTCAAACTATATGGACACAAGGTAGGCATCAAAGTCTAAAGAGTCATCACTCAGGTACTAAGATAATGAAGAACTTTCCTTCTGTATACTCCAAAGTATAAAATATACTTTGTATAGTACAAGCATATTTTATTTAAAATATTTGCATGCATATTTTATGCTTTTATCTTTTTTTTAACAATGAATAGTAGTTAACCAGTTTTGTAAAGCACCAAGCGATTTGCATATGTATATATCTGTATGTTTATATACATTATATCTGGGTATATGGTAGAAGTTTATTTGCATTATTAAAAGAAAATAGCCCATTTTTATCTTTCTGTCCTTCTCTTCTTTGAAGATGCAGGGCCACAGGAACTCCACCGTTAAGTGTGTACTTCCTGTTTCCATATCCCATGTCTGACTTGTCATGGCTGCAGGAATCAACTGTTAGGCATGTACTTCCTGTTTCCATATTTCATGTCTGAGTTGTTAACAGACTCTCCTATCTTCAACTATGAGATGCACCTAGAAACCACAACTACTGTCACTTATCTTGGCTCAGAAATAATCACCTTTTGCCTAGGTTACTTTATCATCTTAAGTCTGCTCTTACCATTTTTGACATTCCCTTCAGACTTTTTACAATAGGGTTTCCTAGTCATATCTTAAAAAGAAAAGAGCAGATTAAGCAAGAGCGTCCTAGGCTGTGCTCAGCTTCTTCCTCGTGGCTTGCTCACCCTGTTACACCTTCTTTAACTCACCAGTTTAGATGCCCCTAACTGGGGCTTTTGCATCTAGCTACTCCTCTCAGGTACTTCGGGCTCATTTTCTTTCTCTCTCTCTAGGTTTTGACTACAGTACCAAGTGTTTTCAACCATCTCCACTCCCCTAACCCTTCACTTCTTTTTATTGCCTTATTTCCCTCTGTAGTTATTAATATAATGCTTTTTCATTCATTCATTGATTATTCTTTCTGAAAAAACACACTCCAAAAGGGATTTTTGTTAGTTGTTTACTGCTGTGTAGCAGGACCCAGAATTCTGCCCGGAAAGTGATACCTCAGGATACATTTTTTGAATGGTGGATGGGAGTGTAGTAAAAGTAGAGAACTATAGATAGAAAGGATCAAAATCAAACTCATGGTGACATTTACCCCTAGGGAGGATGGGGGCAGACACAAAAGACCATTCCTTATTATGCTCTTATAGATGAATACATATGTTCATAATATTGCCAAGGTTTTATATCTAAAAATTTCAAGGCAATTTTCAAAGCTAGATTTCCAATAATTAAGGGGGCAAGGTAGTGCTGCATAGCATTTCCCTCAAAGTCCTTTCATGATGGATCCTGTTGGCTCTCCATCCTCATATTCTCATATTTTCCCTTGCCTACAGTTTCTCCCTAAGTTGTGGTGTGGTTTTTATTTTTATTATTGTTCTATGTGCATAACTTTTCCATTTTTGTTTGTCTGACTAAATCCAACCATCTTTGACTCAGGGTAACACTCCATTTTTCTAGTGGAACTTTGTCCAAGTGACACATAATTTTCATTCTGTCATTTGAAATCAAAGTGCTGTGGCCTCTGCATCCCACACCCAGTGGGAAGCCTGCGCTCTTTCCAATACTTAGAAGAATTCATGCAGGCCTGTGGTTATTTCTTGATTTGATTTCCTGCCACCACTAAAGGCGATGACTCATGTAGTCTTTCAGCGATACTATTTTCCCCCATTTCTTCACTGTGATAAGCCAGTCATGAAACCCACACTCCCTTTTCTTTATTTTTCTACTTGACTCATACAAGACAGATGTGTGGAGACATTGCCAGAGTCAGAGATTTACTGGGGGCAGGATGGAAGAGTGGGGGTAAGAAGTCTCACTCCTGCCTAATGGGCTTTATAGTATACACTCTTGCTCTGAAGGGGCCCTTGACCTATGTAGTGGCTGCTGGCTGTATTTCATCTTAAAGGCCCCAAGTTTATCTGTCGGTTATTTCACTTCTTTTACTTCCCAGGCTTCTCCTAACTCCTATTATTTACTTCTTGTAGCTAAGACCCAAATAAATGACAGAAACAACTGAAGCGAGAAAAATGCATTTTGGTTCACAGTTATTAGAGGGTTCAGATCCATAGGTCTTGTCAAGTGTTGGTGGGCAGAACATCTTTATTGTCAGGTTCAAAGGAAACTCCACTCTCCTAAATTCTTATGCCTATTCCCCTCTCCCAAAGGAGCCATTTCCTTATCACTGTCAGAAGGGACAAATGGCTGTGTGTGGGGCTTTTAGCAGAGCATTCCAAAGCACATGCAAGCCTCTAGCTTTCTCAGTACCACAAGTACCTGTGGCTCTTCTCAGTTCTTCTTACCTTGCTTCTACCATAAATTTATCTAGCTCATAGGCTTCCCTCCTCAAGCGGCTCATTCCCATATAGTATGTCGGCTATACACGTCCTTTTTTTTGTTTTCTCTTCTTGCTCCTCTCTCTTGGTCATCTCTTTCTCTCCCACTTTTCCCATCTCTCTCTTACCTTATGGCTCAGTCCAGCCTGCTGGCCCTGTTCAGTCTAACACTTTCTCCCCCTGCTCTGGACTCTTCCAGATGCCTCCGGCTGTACTCTTCCTCATCTCTCACCTCTACAATAAAAAAACTTTTCATCGACTGTACCTTGAAGTGGTTATGCCACGTTTATACATTTACATGGGTAGAACTTCTTAGTGGCAGGGGTGCATGACAAGGGACGGTTGTTCACTTCACAACAGGCAGATCAAAGAGAACTTACAGGAAAAGACTAGGAAGTGACTCCAGTGCCTCACTTCCTGAATCTAGGCTCCATCATTCAGTTTCCACAAGCTCCCCGAATAGTGCCACAATCTGGGATACCAAGTGTACAACACCTACAACCATGGGGAATGTTTCATACAGAAATCAGGACATTCCTCTAATGCCATCTCATGCATTTTGGAGCACTTTCCCTTTAACTCTTGCACCTTTGAGGCTACAACTGAACAGTTTATTCTGTTAATCTTCTCCCCAGTCCCTTGAAGACATTCGCCTTCATGAGAAGCTTTCTTTCCCTGAAAGGAATTATGTCGTTAACTCCTAAAGTAGCTATTCTTCATCCCTAGACATAATATTGAGTGGTCAGTTTGCCTGTGTGTCTTCATCATCTAATGGCTTCACTGTGCTAGGCCTTGTGTTAATACCTGGTTCAGAGTTTGGTTAATACTTGGGGAAGGAATAAAGACTAACATTTCTGCTTTCCGCAGGCATCCTTTGGAAGGTGCCACTTGACCTCATTAAAACTTCTTTTGATTCCCTAGATGGACATCAGTGAGATGGGAATTATTTGTGCTCTGCTATTATTTCTACCAGCGAATACATCCAAACTTGTCTAGAAGCATGGTAGATGACCCCTCAGTCGGTGTCTGTAAATTAACCAGTGAGCATTACCTGCAAACAAAATTGTGATCAGAAGATGCGTTCTGGCTGGAGCTATGGCTGCTGTTAGCATCTGTGGTCAATATTTTTTCTTCACTGTCTTGATTTCTAGTTGAAGAATGTGCCAATGATGTTCCAGTGATATTTGGAATTATGTTTCTAGGTTTCCAGAGGTCATTTGTTGCATATGAGTGAACTGATGGAGAAATGGAGTAACGTCTAACAATCATGACATTGCCTGTACAGGAAGCACACAATTCAAGTTGAAAAATATTCTGCCCTTAAAGATGCAAACGGAAAATTACATTGATCGTACTTAGTTGATGTTGAAAAAAGATATATCTATTTGCTGATCTGTGCCACAAGTGGTAGTTGATCCTAGCCACATGCTGGACACTTTCAAGAGATGGGGTAGTGAATTTTATGAAAATTGTGCCTGCATAGAGCTTTCAGTGTGTAGCTTACATAGAAAACACACCATAAGCAAGCAACGTATGATGCAATTCAGATGATGACAGATTCTAGGAAGACAAAGCTGACGAGAGCAAGAGATAGAGACATATGGAGGAGATGAGGTCATTTAATTGTGTAGTCAGAAAAATCTCTTCAAGAGCACAGAATTAGTTCACCCTAGATTATTGTAGATTTTTATGGTTAACTAGAAGAGTGTGAGGAGCCCAAATGCTTCAAACATGAAGTAATAATGAAGATACAGAAATGTTAATTGTCCCAATTTGATAAGTTCACCCAACATACATACATACATACATACATACATACATACATGGACAACTGAGTGTTTCTTCCTGACGACAGATGGATGGCTTTAGTTCCTGAAGACTTGCAGTTCAATTTCATCCATCAATGTCTTCTAATACATTTCTTTCCTGAAGTAAACTAAATCTTCCTTGTTTCTTGTAAAAACCAAGAACCTTGTTCCAAAGAACTTTATTTTAGGGAATCTTGGTTTCTCTGAATCCCTCTTAACTCTGTGACTTAAGGCTGATCATTTGACTTCTGCTTGGACATCAGTTGTCACCTGCGAGGTTAGCATTGACCTCGCAGGGTTAATTTTCATTTTTCATGGCCCTTTCCACTTGTTGAATCTTTATGTTGCCTGATATAACTTTATTAGCTAGCACAAAAATGTAAAAAGAAGCTATAAATGTGTTTATGTTTTGAGAATGTCAGGACCACAATTATTTATATTGCCACCTGTCATTGCAGGAAGAAGACAGAAAGTGTTATGACATTGCAAAAGTGGAGACAACCTGGCTTTGCATAGTTTACAAGATTAGAAGATGCAATTTTAGGTAAGAGTTTAGAGTGCAAATTTATCTGAAGTGATTAAGTGTAAATGGCATTCACAAATCATCTTTAAGTACTTCTGAAGTCTGTAGGGTATACCATATGTAATTATGTAACAACCAGGTTTGGAAACAGAATCATAAGGATTTCTTTTTAAAAGAATTAGGAAACCATCCTGAGTCCTGGGGGGAACCTCCATGGGAAGTTATGCTGATGATGGCAAAGTTGAGTTTGTTTTATTTGAAACCTACACTTAATGTGAGACTGATTATCAAATAAGTTCTTTGCTCATCTCCATGAGTCACAAATTATCCTTTACTTTCTTACCAACACAAGGGAAGAAATATCCAACACAGCATCACAGGACTATTAGTCCAATGTCAAAGATCACTGCCAAATGCAGTTTACTTGCCAATAAAGGCTATGAGCAGATTGAAAAGAATCAGGGCTTTGCAATGCTGGGAGTTCCCTGAGATGTTTCTTTTATCTTCCACATTGCAAACTATAACACTCATAATAGCCACAAGGAGAGGTTGTGCAGAACAGGAAGGACAGGGAGCAGTCTGGAAAGTGCTAGATTTTTATATTCATCAAAACCCATGCAATGCAGATATTTCTACAAACATGTTTTATCCAAGGAGAATTGATTCTGAGTAGACACTCTGTAGCTTCACTATGTGATATACATAGTTTATCAGGCAACAGGTATACCTCTGAGCTGTATCTCAGTCTTGGTCTCAGGCATTCAAAGAAGAAACTCACAAAATGTCTCCTTTGTTTTTCTCATGGTATCTATCACACAACATCTGAAAGCACTTGTGGTTCCAAGTGATTTGTTTGCAGGTCCTTAGAGTTGGTTTCTTTCTTGAAGAGAGACACATACTTCTGTTTTATGGTATCTAGTTATTAAGGGGCGATTTTTTTTAAGATTCTGCTTTCAAAGATGTACTGGGGATGATACTTTCTTAAATGTTCTGTGTTTTATATTCTTATCTGTAAAATAAGGGAAATTTTATGGGATGCACTCCAAGATTCCTGTGTAATAGATTTCTAGGGTTCAATTTCCAGTTTGAATTTCAAATGATGCTGGCAATGTATCATTAAAACCTCCAATATAAACTTGTATGCAAGTCAAGTAATAATATTTTCTTGGCATAGCTAATTTTTTTTGTCAACTATCACTGAAAAATTCACATAGATCTTGACTGTATTGTTTTTTGTAATCCTCTCCAAGCCCATGAGATAAGGTCTGTCACTATCCTTACATTACAGGTGATGCAAGTGTACATTAATAGATTCATAGGACCAAGAACTTCACTGTTGGAAGAGGCCTTGGAACGTATCTTGTGTAACTGATTCCCCCCCCCACAATTTGTGTGTGTGTGTGTGTATACATACATGTGTGTGTATCTGTCTGCTCACATATGCACTCGTGTGTGTGCATGTGTGTCTGTATATGCGTGTATATGTACATGTGTACGTGTGTATGTGTTTGTGTGTGTGTGTACATGTACATACTTGGAGGCCAAAGGATGATCTTGGGTATTGTCCCTCATATGCTGTCCATCTTTTTCTCCTCTCTCCCTCCTTCTCTTCCTCCCTCTCTTCCTCCCTCCCTCCCTTCCTTCCTCTTTCCTCTTTCTTTCCTTCTTTTTTCACTCTACCACACAAGGCTTTTTTTTTTTTTTTTGTAAACATAGGTAGGGCTTGAACTTAGGTCTTCAGACTTACAAGGCTTTATACTTGATACTTAAAAAAATAACATGTTTTAAGATGCGATTTTAATGAGTTCATATGCATTGAATTCAACTTGTTCATTACCTTTGTTCAATCCCCCATAGACCCTATTCCTTTTTCTAAATAGCCTCTCTTCTGTTTTTTTTTTTTTTTTATCATCACATGGATTTCTTAAAGGTCTAGACTCCACATATTATAGAAACCACTTTGTATCTGCTTTTCTGACTCTGGCTCATTTCATTTAAATTGATGATCTCTAGTTCCAGTCATTGCCTGAAAAATGACACAATTTTATTCATTTTTATTACACAAAAGCCAAATTACTTCTAGGGTAGATGATACAATGCTATTCTTAAAAGACCATGTGTATTTCACTGGAAAACTTAGATCTGACAAAAACCTTAGCTGGAGATCAGGATGTAATCATAGATTTTATGTGAGGGTATTGTTGTGAGAGTTTTCCTGAGGAGATGTGAACAACTGACTATTCACCACAGATAGGGAACCAAACCCATGACAAACAATTTTATCAAAGCTTATCTTGTGTAGCCAGAGAGCTTGTTGGGATTACACAGAGGAGCATGACTGACCCACAGGCAGCTGGATCACTGGAAAGCCCACTCAAGCATGGGGGGGGGATGGCTCATGAAAGCTGCAACTATTAGCTGTTAGCATGATTAGTGGGCAGTTTGATACACTGGACAGTCCTCTTACAGTCCCAGCTGTCCATTGACACAAACCTAGGCATATGTGGGAAGAGAAATCTCCGTGAGTGATGGCTTTCATCCTATTGGCCCTGGGCATTTTCTTGACTGTTGATTGATGTGGGAGGTCCTGGGTGACAGTGGACAGTATTATCCCTAGACAGGTGGGCTTGGGCTGTATAAGAGAGGTGTCTGAGCGACCCAGGGGAAGAAAGCCAGTAAGCAGTGTTTCTCCATAGTCTCTGCTTCAGCTCTTGCCTCCAGGCTCCTGCTTGAGTTCCTGTCCTGACTTCCTTTAAGGATAGACAGTAACATGGAAGTGCAAGCCAAATAAACCTCTTCCTCTCCAAGTTGCTCTAGACAATGGTATTTATCAAAGCAACAGAAAGCAAACTAGGGCCTTTCTCTTTCTCCAGTAGTCCTTACTGTTTATATGACCTTGGGGAGCGAGGACCCTTGTGGGTCTCACAATGAAGTTAACTAGTTAATTAATTTCATTAACTGTTGTTGCATATACATTGCACATGTATATGATGTATATGTATATGTAAATACATAATATATTTCTTAGTATGTAACAGCAAACTGCTCGGTTTGTATAGGGTCACTTGTATGTATATGTTCAGGGCTGACCATTTTGTGACAAATATAATCTAAAGACATCCCACTAGACTCTCAAGCATGCCTTTTCATTATTTTTTTGTGTGTGTTTTGTTGGGACAATTAGAAAAAGTTCTTAAGTTTTCATAGCCTGTATTTCAACTATTTTCATGACATATATTTCTTCAAACTCAATGATTATATTTTTACTGGAAGTTATGGTTTACATGCTGAAGAAATGCAGTTCCTACTGTTATGTTAGATCTTTCAATGTTCTACACTCTTCCATACTTAATAATATTCACACTGGGTGATGGTGGCACACATTTTTAACCCAGCACTTGGGAGGCAGAGGCAGGGAGATCTCTGTGAGTTCAAGGCCAGCCTGGTCTACAAAACTACACAGAGAAACCTTGACTCAACACCCCCCACCCCTGCAAAAAAAATTTACATCCTGAAAGTACAAAGGGTTCTACTTTGAATGGTGCAGTACTTCTCTTAGAATAAGGTACTAAGATATGAAGACTCTAGTTGCTTGTCATTGCAATATAGAAAAGAGATTTGAGAAGTACTATCTACCTTTAGAGCAAGTCCGTGGCTTGTGATGACGAGTGAGGAAGATACCACCAGCTAACGTTTGGCAATGCTGAGACATTTGTTGTTGTTGTTTAAGACAGATTCTCACTCCATAACCCAGCCTCACCGTGAACACCTCATGGTGTAGCCTAGGCTATCTGCAAACTTGTGATACTCCTGCTTCAGCATCTCACATACTGGGATTATTGAGAGATGCCACTCTGCCTGGCTGGAGACAACTTGGTGGTTGTAACCAGGTTGGACAGGTGGGTGCTACAGCAACTGGTTGTTAGGGAGCATGGAGATGCTGAACATCATACAACACCCAGACTAATGTTGACAATGAAGAATTGATCAATACAAAAGGTCACCACTGCAGGGATATATTACAAAGGGATATATTACAAATATCCGTATCTTTTCTTCCTGTTTCCAATAAGGAAGTCTATTCTTATAGGTTATTCTTTTGGAATGTTTTTTTTTTTTTTTTAGATAATCACTAGACAGAGTGTCTTGGATCTAGATAGTAATATATTTGCAGCTTTGAAATGCTTTCCCTCATCATTAGAAAGAGACATCTTTAATAAGATCAACCACCAGATGTGACATGTTCCACTGTCAAACTGTTCCCAGTCTCTAATTGTCATTGCCTGAAGTCTTTGATGGGTGACAGTAAGAGCTATGAGTAGTTAATTATGCATATCCCTTTTATTTGAATACACCATTGAAGGTGAGCACTGACAACTGAAATGTAGAACATGTTTCTTACTATTGATTCCAACATTTCAGGCAATTATGGAATTAAGCCTCTCCTGTGAAAAACGAGACATTTGAATTTTAACCTTGCATCTTGAGGTATTAAAATATATATGAATATATATAAAATCTATCTACCTATCATCTGTCTGTCTGTCTGTCTGTCTATCTATTGGTTGAATTGTGTGTAATGTATGTACACATTATAGAAATAGAAGAGATAATTGTTGCATACATCCAGGCACTACTTATTATTACAAATAGTTGCCATCAGCCCAGAGGTATGCACCTCAGTACTTATAGGTAGAGAAGATTCAAGAGGTCTAATCTGGAGCCCAGAGTCAAATGGCTGAGTAACAAATCACTGAGAACCACATTTGCCTGATTTTGATTAATAAACTATTAATCAAAAAAGCTATTCCAGCTTAACAAATGATCATGCCAATCAACATGTACCTTCATTGTTCTACATTTTTCAGAATTTATATAGTTATAGTCAAGGTGGTAAAAAACTGATTTTTACACATCTGTTCTTATCTTTCCTGTTACACTCATAAGTCATTCTATTGTTATCGAAATATGTGACTTGGAACCTAAAAGAAATTTTGACTAGGAATTCAAAGATCATCTGTTAGGAGGAAGAGATTAAAACTCATCCCTGCAAGCACCAAATGATGAATCTATTGTAGAAGCCCAACAAATCAGTCATTTGGGAAATACTTGAAAAGGTAAACATAGCCCAGGAGAGCCACATATGTTCAATACCTTGTTCCTGCATAGTTGGTGTTGAATCAGTGGGAGTACCACCAGGCAGGGCCCCTGGAGATTGTCTGTACACTGCTTCTTTTCTCTCATCTTCTGATTCTCTTTCTGTGCCCGAGGCTGTCTGACTAATTGAAGTTAGCTTCACACGGAGGGCCTGATTCTCTTTCTCTAGTCTGTTGATCTCTAACCGCATTTCTTGGATAACCTGCATGAGTTGGATGCTAGTTTCCATTGCCTCTTCTTGCAGACCAACTTTTTTCTCATGAGTCAGATATGTACTCTGCTCAGTGGGACCAGGACAGCCCTGTCCATAAACAATATATGACACTTGAACAAGGGAGATCATGCCCGCCTGTACCATCTTTCAGCACCTGGGTTAGATTGTCCAGGGAGCTAAAGAACCTTCATGACTTATTCATCCTGGGTTTTGTTTTCCAGAACACTAATTTTCTGTCTTTCATTTCATATCAATCAACAGACATAGAATGCTGTTTGTGTCTGAGAGAAGGGGCTATTTCAAAAATTTCCACTAAAGGGCACAGTTTCTTATTCCCATCATTAATTTACCATCATGATTGCCCTTCAGTCTTTTTCTGTTGCTACATTTGGGATCAAATATTCACACGATCGACCACCAACTGGTACAAGTATATCAAAAATGGTAAACAAATACTTCTTCACTTTGTAAACTATGCTGCAGTTCTGTATTTCAGGAAAAATTACTAATTTGACACCTGTTGATTAAGAAAAGCTGACATTAGCTATCAGGTGACAGAGGAACTAACTATAGGGGTATTATTGAAATGTGTTATTGTTAACTCAAGATAGGCAGGCTTTTGTCCATATAGATACATTTTTTTTTGCTACTATTGGCTTTTAGGATACTTTTTTGGCAGGGGTTTCCCAGGGAGATTTTGGAATTTGAGAAGATCCAAGGTGAATATTAATCTTGAATGAGGAAAGGCATAAGGCAGCTATAGTTTTCATTATCTATTTCTTCAAGAAAATTTTGTTGTTGTTGTTGTAACTAAAAAGTACAATCCTAAATAGCACATTTTCTGATGGCAATATTTGGAAATTTAATAAATGTTTAAACATAAATGAGTTTCTCAACTGGATGAAATTTATTAGAAAATAGCTTTCTTCTTTTTCCTTTGCAATGACACTTTCTGCCCATCCTAATAGACATTAGTTGACTGACCCTATGCTATAGATAGGGATGAATGAATCAAGTTTTCTTGCTCTTTTTACCAAAAAAAAAATTTCTTTTTAATACTATTCATTTATTTATTATCAGTACTGAGGATTGAACCCAAGATCTTGTGTATGCTTGGCAAGCACTCTACTAACTAGATAGGGCCTTGGCAATATCATTCAAAACATTGTGAAAGTAAGTAGGCTATTCTTTCATGTTATTTCTATTTTAACGTGAATGAATTTTAGCAAACACTTATGTATGTGGCTCTCTAGAGAGTGCACAAGTGAATACTGTAAATAAAGACTATAAAGTGAGATGGGATTGTAATGTTGGCTTATTCTAACCACTACTGGATGTTCAGATCTCTTTCACAGTTTGTCATTCCAATTTTGAGTATTTCTATTTTTAAGAGAGTTGTCTTCTTTCTAGAGTTTCTTACTTGCTTTTTTTTGGTGTGGATGCTAGATCTCCCTTGCCTAGTATGGACTCAGATTTTCTATGTATCTGAGGTTGACTTTGAACTCCTGATCTCCCTCCCTCTACACTTGGCTTTAAGAGTGTGAGGGATCACAGGGCATTATGGGTGCTAAACAAACCCTCTACCAGCTGAGTTATAGTTCTAGCCATATCTTGCTTTTTAACTACCTTCTGTGGGTTTAATTTCAGACAATCTTTTTGGAAACAGTTGCTACCACATCTAATCTTTGTTGTTATGAAACTCTTGCTCTAGCACAGTAATTCTCAAACTGTGGGTTGTGACCCTTTTGGGAGTCAAGCAACCCTTTCACAGTGGTCACTTAAGACCATCAGAAAACGCATGTTTAGATTATGATTTATAATAGTAGTAAAATTACAGTTATGAAGTAGCATCAAAAATAATTTTATGATTGGGAGCCAGTACAACATGAGGAACTGTATTGAGGGATCACACTATCAAATCTCTATTCTCCATTACCAACATTGCCTGTCTCCTCAGATGTTTGTTGTCTAATGTGGTTTCAAGGGTTTTGAGTGCACTATAGAAACTATTTTTTAAATATACAAATATCAATAGGCCTCTTGGACTAGGCTAAAGAGTTGTAAATATATACTTCTGAAGGCATCTATCATAACAATATATCATAACATATAGAAAATAATATTCTAGAAAATATTCTATACAAGTGGGTAGTAAAAATCATTTTTAGCTGGGCATTGGTGGCACAGGCCTTTAATTCCAGCACTCTGGAGGCAGAGGCAGGTGGATCTCTGTGAGTTTGAGGCCAGCCTGGTCTACAGAACAAGTTCCAGGACAGGCTCTGAAGCAATACAGAGAAACTCTGTCTTGAGAAACAAAAAAAAATCATTCTTAAAATTATATTCAGTATTGAAATTATATTTCACTCTTGCAACTGTTTTCAGCAACAGCATAGGACACAAAATAATGTATAACCATTGGAAATTATAAGAGAGCTATAGTTATAGGCAATTTGACTGTATTTCTAGAAACAGAAGAAAATAGTCCTAAAATTTTATTTTGCCACAGAATAAATACTTTAAAAAAATCAGTAGTTTTCCTAAGTACTACCAATTACAATGTAGACAAAAACAATTGAAAAATATCCCAGTGACAAGAGTTCTTCACATGTAAAACACACAAAGATTTTCTTTATAGAGTTTGATGTTTGTGTAATGAAGAAAATACTAGCATTTTACAGAGGCATACAAATGAACATAAGAAAATGTAGATTTTAAATAATTTCTATGTTTCATGAAAGCCCAATAAAAATCCCAATGGGACTTGAAAAATTGACCAAATCATTCTAAGGGTCATCTGGAGACAATCAATATGCAGTGTCTGCTAGGGAAGGCTTATTTCCAAAGTCTTATCTAGTTAGAGTGTCATCATAGTACAAAGCTATGATGACGATATAGCAATATTCATAACTTTACAGTCAAGACAAAGTTAAAAACAGTTCTGAGGAAAAAAAACACAAGAGGAGAAATGTGGAAAAAGTCCAGACTCCTGAGAAATTTGGGATACTAAAGTAATGAAATACTTACTTCTGGAGGGGCCTAAGAAGTTAGTAAAAATTTTGGAAAGTAAAATCCACAGAGTTGATAATTATAATATTTTCTAAAACGGCCAATTTAGCAATGAATATTAAGCATTTAAAGCAGTTCTTACTAGAGATAGGGAGATGGCTCAGTCAGTAAAGTGCATATTGTGTAATCATGAAGATACATGCATAATACACTTGTATGTATAGCATATGTACACACATACACACAAGTTCTTAACTGTAAACTATTAAATTCCATCAAAAAATTTTTATGCACCACAAATCAATAGCAAAGCCTTAGAAATAATCTATATGTCCAAGCAATGATAATGATTAATTAAAATGTAGCTATACAACCAAATAATATTCTGGACCTCACAATGCTGAAAGAAAATGTAGTGTACTCAATAGTATATAGAGTAAAACCCAAACTTTGTACAAAGGATTGAAAAGAAGTATCTGTTACAAGCACTTTCCAGTCAACCTGATGTGTCCAGTCACATCAGACCCAAATAACATGAAACTGTTGGCTGGTTACTAGCATTTCTTATATTCTTAAATATTAACTTATTTCTATCAATTGAAGTGTTTGCACTTGGTCTTATGTTATTAGAGAGAGGGTCCGGACTTATTACTCCTCTTCTGTCCTATGTTTTGACTCTTCTCTACTACATCTCCCAGAATCCTCCTTGTTTCCTAGTCCCCTCTATCGTGCTTCCCTATAGGCCAACAGTGTTTATTCATTAACCAATAAGAGAAACACATTTACAGAATGTTAGCTCCCATCAAGTATCCCAAAGGAAAATAAGTTTTATCGCTGTGTGATATGATTTTGTATGTCTTTATGTATACATGTATGCCACCTGTCCTATTTAGTTTTTATTGCAGCTTCAGAGAGTTAGAGTTCATGACCATCATGGTGGGGAACATGGCAGCAGGCAGACAAGCATGGTGTTACAACAGTAGCTGAGAGGTTACATCTTGCTTTGTAAACATTGGACATGTAGACTATCTATCATCTATCTATCTATCTATCTTTAATCTATGTGTCATTTCTCTCTATATATCTATATATCTCTATATAGATACACTTATATATCTATATCTATCTATCTCTCTATATAGTATAAATATATAGATTTATATATAGAGAGAGATGAGTTGTGGGAGGAGTGCCTACTAGGAATATCTTGGGCTTTTGAAACTTCAAAACTGCTCTCCCTAGTGACATACCTTTTCCAATAAGGTCTCCTAATCCTTCCACCAGCTTCAGACCAAGCATTTGAATACATAAACCTATGGGGAGACATTCTCATTTAAACTATCACACCATCTAAGTCAAAAATACTATAGTTATGTGAAAGACTTTTACAATAACCATATTTGATAATAAAATAGAAATGAAATAATAAAAAATTAATAAAGCGCCAAAGTTAGATTTGTCTTTAGGATTTTTGGATGGGTTTTGATGAAATTGAATGATGATTCATTCCTAGGACTTGTGGGAAATGCAATTTCTTGATTTCTATGCCAAAGTAGTTTTTATAACCCAATAGTTTTCACAAGCATTTATAAGTGGTCACACAAAAACTGGTTAAACTCTGTATATTGTCATATGAACACTAGGATCTTATAATTGAGAGTGACAGATCTATTATCTATCTATCTATACACACACACACACACACACACACACACACACACACACACACACACACCATATATTTTTGGCTTTTTGAGAGAGGGTTTCCCAGTAACTATAGAGCCAGTTCTGGAACTCCTTCTGCAGACCAGTCTGGCCTCAAACTCAGAGAGTTCCTCTTGTCTCTGCCTCCCAAGTGCTGGGATTAAAGGTGTAGACCGCCACCACACAGCAGAGGATGATTTATTTTTAAGCATGTGGATCTTATGGTATAGATATCCAGGTCCCCTTCAGATACCAATACAGATGATCCCCTTGTCTACATCACCCAGTAAGCCTCATGCCCTCAG